CCCCCAACCATCCGCCTTTCCTTTTGGCTCACCGAAACCTGAGTGCCACTTTTCTGGGAAAGCCTGATATTCTGACTTCAGTTTTGTAATTTAATGATGGAGAGTTTCCTTAGTAAACCAAATTTAGAGTCCTAGAATGCTTATCTTATATCCAGACCTTGAACATAAAAGGCATTTTATACCCGCAATTGTTCATTTAATGAGCAATTGCAGAGTGCAGGCCGGTTAAGGGATTGAGCTATATGCACTATTATTGCAAGAAGTATTCCGAAATACCAGAAATAGGACGTAAGCTCTGATCAGGGAGACTGTGAGCACAATTACCTTCTTTTCAAATCCTTCTGTGACACTGCGGGAGGAAAAAGGACTTTGAAACTTGAAAGGAAAGAGCTTGCTTTCAACCTCAAAAGCTAGGAGGAAAGGGCTCTGAAATTTGCTCAGAATTCCCAATTCACCATTAGCCTGTTTCTTCCTTTAGCCTCAAGGCATTCTCCGCTTTTTGAAAAGATGTTAAGAAATTCAGTCACAATAGAGAGCCTAGTTTTGAACATGTTTCACTCGGTCCATTGAGGTCTGGGCTCCAGCCTTTGTGTGGGGTGAATTGAGCTGAGCAGCTAGCTGGTTGGAGACAGGTGAATGAAGAGTCGCTGTGCCGTGCAGTCGCAAATTCTAGCAAAGAAAGAAGCTCCTTTATTTTACAATATGCATTCCTGTACAAGCCCGCCAGTGGCAATATGTGGAGTTGAGCCTGTTCTTAAGTCAATACGGAGTGCTTGGTTTATAGCAACTCTTGTTAAGTTTGTCTTGTAATTGAAGCTGCTGTTGACCTTGCTTGGGGACCATTTGTAAAACCGTTTATTTAGCATAAACTGAAATAATAAACCCTCCTTCTCTCGGGCTGATTGTGATAGGGTGACATTAGTTTGATTTAATGATTAGCCGCCTGACCCTTCTGCTGGAGAGAGCGGCTTGAATAGAGAGAGTTCACTCGGAAGCACTCAGAAAGAATACTAATGAGCTTGTTAAATTTAGCATGGCTCCAACCACTTTTAATTCCTCTAATGGGAGCGGCACTGCCTGGGAGAGGGAGGCAGGGCGACACTGAGAATGTTCCTAGATGGTCTGCACACTAGAGAAAGCCCACCAAGAGAAGTTTGCAGAAAGTAGCTAGCCAGAGCCTGGGGTCCGAGTTGTAAGTATTGCCCGTTGTCTTATACTGTGTTTTCTCTGTCTTGGGGGAAGAGAGGAGTAATGATGTTTAAAACGGGATTTAAGGGAACAGTTTAAAAATCGATGTTAATTTGAAAAAAAAAAAAAAAAAAGGCGACCACGTGCACTGTGAGCTCCTAATCAGCTAATGTTGCCAGGGCGGCAGGAGATGTTTCCAGTCAGTGATGCAGTGCGGGGTTTTATGTTTATATCGGAAGGATCCTCTGAAACTTCTATTTGAGGTCCAGGCCAAAAAGCCCTTGCTTCCTGGGTGGCAAGGAGAAATCGTGCAGGCATTTGCAAGTAAGTGCCCAGGAGCACAGTGTGTTCGAGTCCCGCTTCCCGCCACACGGTTTCGTTCAGCCTTCCTTGTCAGCGGTCTGAGCGGTGTTTGCAAGGAGGCCACTTTCGAGTTTCCAGAGATCATGGCACCGAGACTCGAGGCTGTCGGTTGCCTTTGGGTGAGTCTGGAAAACCTGGGACAGTCTGTAAAATGCGATGCTCGGGCAGCCCTCCGTCCGGGGGTAGGAGTTTGCTAACTTGCACTCGAGCACGGATGTGCAGAAGGAAGGAGGTCCAGAGAGGGCTTCTGATGACGGTATTTAAAATCCTTTCTTTCCTGACACTTTTTAGTGAATTGCATGTTTCCGTGTGACCCCCGAGTTAGCAGCTGTTTGACATAGAGAAGCAGGAAGAGCCCCCTGCCTGTGTTTGGCCGTTAAAGTCCATTGGCAGATGCTCCTGGAGCAGTGGGCTGTTGGCTTACATTTTTGCAGCCGACTTCTGCTTGTTGCCATGGTGAACAGTATGTTTCTGTCAATAATTTGGCCTGGCGTAGCCTGTCTGCACTGACTCTCAAACTTTATTGAACAACTCGGCACAACTGAACGAGATTAGACAGTTTCTTCTTTTGGCTTGCTGAAGTGGTTGCTAAATTTATAAGAGCAGGCAGGAATATGGCTTGGAAAGTTTCCTTTTCACTGCAGAGAGCGGGCTCTCCAGCCTCAGCGTGGTTTGTATTCTGGAGCGTGCGTACTGTCAGGGTTGGATCTGAGTGCACGTCAGAAGCAGCTCAGTGCACGCGGTAAACTTCAGGAAATATGTGCCTACTGGAATTTCTCGGGGAGGGGGGAGGGGTTGGGGAAACAGCGGGTTGGCATCGACTGTCCTAAAAGTGAGTGTGATGAAAGTTTGCACACTCCAAAAACTCTTGCCTGCAGCTTACTAAAGCGATTCGTTAAGTTTTTCTGGGTTAACCATTTGAACGTTGCTTCTTTCCTTGTTATAACTTGTGTATTCACACATGTTAGTGTAACTTTCATTGAGAAAATGATCAAAGTTTAGTACCTGCGGGGGAAAAATCACTTAGCTGAAAAGACACCCCATTTCCATTCCTCCCCGCCCTCCAATTACTTCTTTCTCCCAGGAGACTGGGGGTGGGGGCGTGGGAGGGCTCTGGTCAGACCGTGCCCAATTATTCAACTATTTGTGAAGTTGGAACTCAACGGCTCATCATAAAGGCATGGCTTCTAAGAAACTCACTCGATTACAGGGATGCAGTTTCAAGAGAAGAAAAGTTAATTTCTTCGAGCAAGATTAAGTCAAGGGAATCCTGTTTTCAACCTGGAACAGATTAGTGGAGCTTGGTTATTCATCTTAACCAGAGAATGCTAATTATGTGTCACGACGGCTCTTAGGAGAGGGCTTTCTGGTTTTCCAAATGAAGGTCCATCCTCCAGAATTTGCACCTCAGTGCCACGGGTTCACTTCAGGTTGAAATTTGAAATAAAGATTTAATACAGGCGCAAATTAGTGGAAAATATGACTTTGGCCATTTGTAGGTTATAAGAATTTTAATAAAACCAACTAAGAGGTTTAATGTTTTCGACACCCTTTTGCAAACCCTGATTCTGTAGCCTGCGACCTCGCTGCTAATGAAGTATGAGGGTGGAGTGGCACCTAAAAGGATTAGTCAGAAGGGAAAATAAAAATGTAGGGTTTTGTGGGTTTTTTTTTTTTTTTTGGTAGTTTGTTTTTAAATGACCCAAAGCATGGTTTTTGAATTGCTTTTGTAAAGATCGATGTGTGAAAATGTGAGATTACACCGATTTTTTCTTCTGTTTAGTAGTTACTTGATAGATTAAACTCATAATTTATCCCATAATTAGAAGATATGGGGGTGAAGATCTGCACAAAACAATGCCAAAGTAATGTTTCACATTTGAACTGCTGACAGCAGTCAGCAAATTCACTGTAAAGACCAAGGCATACCTCATTGTCTGTTCTGTTCTGCAAGTCATTTGCTAGGTGAAACAACAATTGCTTATTTCTTCAAATCCCAGGCCTAGGCAGAAGGATTCAAGTTGCTTTGGGTAGTTCAAGCCATTAGTCAACCCAAAACAGGAGTTGTGACTGTAGTTTATATATTCATGCTTGCCTGTGTTTATAGCTATACTTTCTTCTGAATTTGTACAAACAGCCCATGAATCTACTAAAGCATACTTTGTTGTTTAGGGGCTCTCGGCCAGATAGAACTGCTTTATGGAATACTTTGAAGAGAAGTTTTTATGTTGGGATAAGCCGTGGTGAAAATCTGCCCACCTAAAATGCACAACATTATTATCGCTTACATATATATATGCATATTGAAGATCAAGAATGCAAAATCGTTCTCAAATTGGATGTCTAAGCAGTGCGCAAACAGCTCTGCCTCCATCAGCACTTACCTTCCAGAACAGTCTGCTGATGGAACGCAGAACTTGTTTGGGAGCTTGTAGTTTAGAATGTGTGTACGATTCCAACAGATGAATTGGCCCATTTGTTGTGGGTTCAGATCACCTGTTCGGTTTTATTTTATGTGGGGGTTCTTTGATCCGCTATTATTCAAAGGTCATCCAATCACATTCCCAGAGAGCCAGAATGGGTTAGATGGGAAGTTCCTACAGATCAAAGGGAATGGAAGCATTAGGAGGCGGGAATATTGAATGTGTGTGGAATTTCGGAAAGCCACTTATTACACGTCTGAAGCAGCGTCCGGACCCCCGCAGCACACGTGCCCGTGTCTGCACAACTGACGTCTTCCTCGCCCACAGAGCCGCCTCGCCCTTGGAGCTATACTCTTGCTCCATTTTCTTCTAGGTTCTCAGCTCTGTTTTGTGGGCTGCAGCAAAAAGTGACTTGCAAAGGGCACTGTGGGCGTCCATGGTTGGGACCTTTATCCCGTGTAACTAGTGGGTCTTCTGTCCCATTTCCAGCTCCAGTAAACCAGGGTTTAGACTTAACAATCCAAAAAACAGGAGAGGTTCTGGATCACTGTAGGCCCTTTGATCCTCAGATCACCCAGAGCCTTAGTGGGTGTCCGAGCTGCCCCGATACCTGGGCGGCCCGGCTTCCCCAGACAGACGGACGGGAAGCTGGACATCACAGCCTCAGGCTGGCAAAGCTCCCAGCTCCCCTTGGGACGTGCGGGCCTACTGGCAAGTCCCTGACGAGAAGCCCCACTGGCAGATTGCAGTTGTAAGCTGGCGATGATCATTTGCTGACCCCCTGCATCTCAACTTAATAGGCTCATTTCCTGCTCCCGCTCGTCCTTGGATTTGTATTTGGGACCTTCATTCATAAGCAATTTTGTCTGGAGACTATCCCATCATGGTGTAGCTTTCAAGGTTGCCAAGAATGAGAAATAGGCTTCTTTGGGGGAGGAGGGAGAGAGAAGGAGACCTAATTGATGACTGTTTTTGAATCGCTCCTTCCAGTGGCTCACAGAGCTCTCCATTTCCTCCTTTCTTTAGAAGATGAAAGTCCTGGACAGACCTATCACAGAGAGAGAAGAAACGCAGTCACCATGCAGCCACAGAGTGTCCAGGGGCTCGGCAAGATCAGCGAGGAGCCTTCAACATCTAGTGACGAGAGGGCCTCGCTGATCAAGAAGGAGATTCATGGGTCCCTGCCGCACCTGGCTGAGCCCTCCGTGCCGTACCGCGGGACCGTGTTTGCTATGGACCCCAGGAATGGTTACATGGAGCCCCACTACCGTAAGTGGTTCCTGCCCCACGGCCTCCTTCCGGGCCCTCCTTCCGTGAGCCACGGAGGGCCAGGCATGTGCGTGCGCACACGCGTGCTTCTCGGATTTTTGGGCTGGTATTAATGGATGAAAATGTTCAATTTACTGTCCACCTTTTCCCCCCCTCTCCTACATCCTGTCCATTCCTCCTTTTAGAGGGAGCCATTTTCTTCCATCTCTAAGCAACTTTTCAAGCCTTCAGGAAGGTGTCCATCTGTGGCTAATCCACATGGACCTTTGCTGGGAACGAGAACCAGATTTCTTCCACCCAAGTAGACACTGCAGGAGGAAAATTGGTTGATGGGGGCAGTTATTGAAGTGGGCTGCACTGGCGGGAGTCTTTAACAACACCTATCCCCATTTTTAATGATTTTTTGCTTAATTGCTGAGGATGAACAGACCTCTTTTAACAGATCGGTGCTAAATTCCTTAATGTGGAAGATTTCTGGCTACCGGTTTTGCTTTCTTCTCCAACCAGCATACCAGAAATGCTCGAAGCTCCTCTTCCTGCACTAATAAAGTTTAAGTAAATCACTTAGGACGCCGAACACAAATATACGGTGGTTTTCTCGAAAGAATGATGTATAAGGGGTGACTTTATTTGCGGCCTGTTTCTCGTTAAAAACAATATAATTTGGTTGAGGAGTAATGAAGTTCACATTGAGGTGCCAAAGCTTACAGCTCTTGATTACAGATTTATCACCTTGCCAGGATACAGGCTTGCCATTTAACCTTCCCGGACTATAGTTCCAGATGATCCATTGAGCTCCAGCGAGGGGCACTGGTTTCTGTTTCCCTCTTTCCGCATCATTCAGAAATTTTAGTGTTTTAAGGCAAAAGGTCATTAGCCAGATGACTGATTAGTGAGGACAGCTGATTAGTGCATTTTTTTTTTTCCCTTTTTGCTCAAGAAAGTGCCCAGGATAAAAGCTAATTTCATCCCTTCGTTAGCTGGCTTGCAGCAGAGGGGAATGTTCCCTCATCAGGGTGCAGATCAAAGAGCCCAGAGCAACCTTACGTCTCAGCAACTGCTTTCCGCCCCTGCCCCTCTCCAGCGACCAGATTATATTGTTGCCAAAGATGGAAGGTACATTATTTTTTTTTAAGTGCAGAGCAAATTATGTTTTAAGTGGTCAGAAGCCTGGAGGAAAGGGTCTTATGGATTCTTGTAGGCTTTTGAACAAGGCTACAACTTGTCTGATCAAGAAGTACTTACCGGTCCTGTTGTTGCATTTGGCTCCAGACATGAAGAGATGTGGGGTGCGCCTCTTTTCCTCCTTCATTACAGTTTATTTCATTGTCTTTCTATTTTCTTTTCTTTTATTTTTATTTAAAATTTTTTTTTAATGTTTTATTTATTTCTAGGAGAGAGAGAGAGACAGTGTGAGAAGGGGAGGGTCAGAGAGAGAGGGAGTCACAGACTGAAACAGGCTCCAGGCTCTGAGCTGGCAGTCAGCACAGAGCCCGACGCGGGGCTCGAACCCACGAACCGCGAGATCATGACCTGAGCGAAAGTCGGACGCTTCACTGACTAAGCCACCCTGGTGCCCCTCTATATTCTTTTAGAAACGAGACTTTGAAACAGTGTCGGCAGGATTTTCCTCCGAGCACAGCCTTGTTTTCTACATTGTATTTTTACTTAGGGGTCTCTACTGGATCTCACTGGTGCAGAAAATGGGAGGGAATCTGCATCCTTGCTACCTGCATTTTTACTCCCTGAGTGTGTTTACTTTTTAGAAAGAATCCAGCCTCGCTTATTAGTCAAGTTCCCTGCATTGTTTTCATTCTTATGTGTGAACACAAACTTTGCCCGTGTCTTGTTTATGTTTTGTTTTCTATTCCAGATGCCCACTAATTAGTGAAGGATTTAATTGGGCAGGACAGCTGACGAATACCTCTCTTCCAGTTGATGCAAGTAGGCAGATGACGGTTAGCTTTCTGTGCCATTCAGCTTGCAGCCTGCTCTTGGTCCGTTGGTTCTAACGGTTTGCCCGTTGAATCCCTTCCCTCCATTGAGGGATGGGCTCTGTGCCCACCTGGGATCCGCGGCACCTCTTGGCGCTGTGCGTTTGTGACCCGCCTCTTGGGCCTCTGGTGGAATATTAACTAGCACAGGGCACTGGAGAGCTCTTGGCGGGGCTTGGAGCTGTTCTGTTTAGAGGACGTAGACCAGCAGGTCAATGTCTTCAGCTTTCCCCACCGAATTGTTCAAGTCACTGTTAAAATTGCACGATGGGGGTGCCTGGGTGGCTTAGTCGGTTGAGCGTCCGACTTTCACTTAGGTCATGATCTCGCGGGTCGTGGGTTCAGGCCCCGCGTCGGGCTCTGTGCTGACTGCCAGCTCAGAGCCTGGAGCCTGTTTCAGAGTCTGTGACTCCCTCTCTCTCTGACCCTCCCCTGCTCACGCTGTCTCTCTCTCTCCTAGAAATAAATAAAAAAACATTAAAAAAAATAAATAAAATTGCGCGATGACTGACAAACTACGTACGGTGCCTGTAACCAACTGGCCAAGGCCATTTTGACCCATCATCCCAATGAATACATGCCTAAATCGGTCATAAATAAATGATACCATGACACATATAACATGGATGGGGAATCCTAGAGGTTACACAGGTCGGATTGCCATTTAGAGGATTTGGGCTCGAGTTCCAGCTTTGCCGTTTAGTGGCTGTGTAACGTGGCCAAGCGTGTTGACCCCTCTAAGAATCATTTACTAACTGTTGAATTGGTGTTGTTACCATGTGACTGCTGCTCCGTGGTGTTTTCCTGAGAATTAAGTGAGACAATGCAAATACAGTATTTAATAAACTCTCTGCTCATGGGGAGCGCTTCCCATTGTTATGGCACTTCCACTCTGCCTCTGCTTCGTTAAGGTCGGCTTCGTTTTCTTGTTCTACTTCCTCCTGTTCCTTTCCATCCTCATCATCCCACCCTCAGCAGCAGCGCCATCAGCACCACCTGTATGCGGTTAGCTCAACTCTCCAAACCAAGGTGTTTTTGTTAGTGCTGCTGCTGTGTGTATTTCTCCGCCTCCCTGAGATCCGCATCTACAAACAGATTAGAGACTGAGTGGGCCGTAATCCTTAGGAGAAAGGTTGGCGTGTCAGCACTGTGCACGGTGGCTTTCTGAACGTAACTTTCTCCCTCAACCTTCATGAATTTTCTATAATCTTTTCCTGTTTTGTAACTGAAGAAAGTATTAAAACTTTTAAGTGATTTCGAGAAGTTTTAACCTGCTAAATTCTCGGCAGAAAGTGTTTCATGTAACAAATACAAAAGTAATACGTGTGGAAAAAATGAAAGGTGCAGAATTATTCAGATGAAGTGTTTTAAAGATGTCCTAGATGGGATGTAACCGTAGTTTTTCTAGAACCCTATTGGGTCATTTAATCTTCTACCAATATCATTTAATCTTTTTAGTACTTTATAATAAAACCCATCCACCTGGTCTGGATTTAATTATCCAGGTAAAGCTAATGAAAGGCCAATGCGATGCTGAAGTTGATACGTCTTCCAAGAATTCTTAGCGGGTGAGAAAAGTGCCATCTTTCTAAAATGAGACCTGGAAGTTCAGTCCCATTTCTTTACCTGTCAGCCCCACGTCCCTGTGAGAACACAAGTTCACTGCAGACCTACCGTGGCTCAAGGTTCAGAAACTTCTTTTTAGGCCGTTCATTCCCTCTTCTTTTGAGTCATGTGCCAGCTTCACCAGGTTGTTGGGGAGAAAAGACGCCTCCCATCCAGTGTCACCGGGCATGGGAACACTCACAGGAATTCCTTAGTTTCTCTGTGGTTGGAAACTGTGGACTTTCCAAGATGCCTAATTGGTGCTTCTATATATATTAACTTTGTATTTCTAACGTGTGGGCAGGCTTCCTGTAAGACCGGAAAAGGGAAAATCGTTTCTTTACCCTCAGAAGGACATCTGTAGAATCTTTATTGCACAAGACGTTCTTACCCTTGGGTAGGCAATGTTGCATCTTCACAAACAGCAGTTAGGCTGGATTCAAAGTATTTTAGGTTTTGTGGGTTTGGCTTAAAAAAAAAAAAAAGGAAAAGCAAAGAAATACCAGGGAGAGCGGGCACTTCAAACGTTCGCGACATATGTTTGGAATAAAATCCTCACGGGGGGCCCTGGAGGGTAGTCTATCCTGGAGGGGAGCGGCAGAGGGCTTGTGGAGAAAGTAGACGTTCAGGCTCAGACGTGGCGGGATGGTACCAGGCTGGCTGCTGCGGGATCGCCAGCACTTTATCACTGGGGAGCGCGTGGATGGGCTGGGCTTCAGAGCCTTGACCTGCTCATACCGGAGTCCGGATTCGGACCCCTGTCTCCTTCCTACGCGTTGATTTTGCCCTTGCTCCATCCGTAGCCAGGTATTTCAAGCTAGCATCAGCCCTGCTTGCACTTCCCACAATGCACTTCCTTCTCTTAGGAACTTGCGAAGGCAGGTGACGTAATAGTCCAGGCATTTCTGCACCCTGGCCGGCGCTTCACGTCTATGCTCTTCCCTGGGACGGAAAACATGTGTTTCGATGTCTTCTGTCTTCCTGTGAAGGCTCGTGTTTTCAGACCGTCCCTGCCGGAGCCTCCACGGGAAGCTTCTCAGATTCACCGGCCATGCCATGCGGGGCCCTTAGAAGGAGGAGGAGGTCCCCTTTTCTAACACACCGGGTCCCTTTTACAGTTTTATGGTTGCGAAGATGCTTTTCTTCTGCCCCCAACTGCTCCCAAGCAGTAATAATGCCTCATGGAAAATCTGATTCATTCCTCCATGCAAATGCTTTGATTGAAAACACACCACTGGTCTTCTTCCTTATGTTTCCCAGTTCAGATGACAGAACTATGAGTTGCTAATTAGCTAAACCTGAGGAATTTGCTTAAAGAAAAGAAACTGAATTTTTAATTGCTTGCATTTATTTATTTTGTGCAGAAAGCTGATGCGCCAGGCCCACTTGCATTCTTGTGTG